CCCATCACCACGTACAGGAATCCACGTCAAGGGGAATTCTGAAAGAGAGGATGTGACAGGTAGGCATGGCAGGAGGGGGTCTGATTTTCTATTCCATAACTCTGTAACCAAAGAAAATTGAAGACTAAAAATTATGGTTTGTTTGAGCAATGACAATTTTATTGAGAGTAAGTTACATTTAATTTCGTACTTTTTTCAAGGGGTGGTGGATAAAATAGGGAAGATGACATGCTAAGAGAAAATGTGTCACGTGGGTCACACTAGGGAAAATTCAGGAGTTTTTAAATATTGTCTTGTAGAATTAAGAACTTAAAACTTATATAGTATTAAAATATGGATTATTAGCTAAGATTTTATGCTATTCTAATTGGTATAACATAAACAAATGTAGTTTAATAACATTTTGAATGTAAGACACTAAAACCTTGTGTCATGTGCACTAAAGGATACCAGTGGCAATAGGATTAACAGACAAAAATAGAATAAATTAAACTCAATTGTGATTGAATGGTTATTTACATGCGTGTGTGTGTGTATATAAGTAGGAATGATTCAAATTCCATCCCTACTATCTTGTTTGCATTGTTTTTGAAAGATTGACATTAGCCATCCCTATATTTGCTTCCTTTTTTGAAAAGTTTTTCTTTACTTGTTTTTTTTTAATGCAGTGTTTCAATAGACATAGGAAGGTTGTATATATAACTAAGTTCTGAATAAAATGAAGTTTCAAATGCAATATTTATTGTTTATCTATTATTGGCCAGTAATTCCTATTTAACCCTGTATTTCAAGAGATAATGATAACATTGTTTTACACTAGAATTATGATTTCTTTTAATTACAACTAGTTCTTAATAATACTTATAAAAGCAGATACACTTGTTTGAAACTATGTCACCTCAGTGAAATGGGTTGACACCATTGTCTTGGTTTCTGAGTTATCATGTAATAAAAAAGCAGCAGAAGAAAGAAGAACAAGAAATTCAAACTTTTTGCTATGATATTTACAGATACTCCCAGAACTTGTGACTCAGTCATTACATAAATATTGTTTTAAAAGGAAACACTGTATAGTATTATAAATTTCTGATGACCTATTGAGGAAATATTTAAAACACCATTTCGATGAACAATACAAGCCATCCCTACACAGGCAGTGCTACTGCGTGCCTGATACATCTAGTGTACTAACATTAGTTTTGACAAATTATTTTATAAGAAGTTTGAAATGTTACTTTCTTTAGACAAGTAGACTTGTAGCTTATTTTCAAAACTCTACATTAATTTAGTAGTTCCAAGTAATGTCTTTTATAAGCTATGGAATAAAAAATAACTCTTTAGTTTTTCATTTTAAACAATACAACTTACACCAAGTTCTTGACTTAGAAGATATGGTTCCTGGGCAACCAACCAAGACTCTGCAATAGCAGCATCCCTAGCAAACTGGTATACTTCCAGGACTAGAAGCAAAATCAAACATTAATACAGAGAAAGACAATAATCATTAGAGAAACATTAAAAGAAGTACCAAAGAATATATTATATATATTTTCCCAATTATTCTTAATGATCATAAAACCACCAAACTTTATATTACACAGCCAGATTCAGCGAGATGATAAAATTAATTTTAGTTTTCAGTGCCTGCAAGGGTAGCTGGGTATGAAGCATTGAATATAATAATTTCTATGCAAACGTAACAAAAACAATTCTACTTAGGTATGTCTTAGAATTTCTAAAGAAATAGTTGATTCTCTTAAATACAGCACTCATTGTAAATGTATCACAGAAAATAAAGTATTTATAATAAAACAGATACAATTAGAACAAAATATCCTTCATACTTAGCTGCAAGTGTTCCCATCTTTCCTCCCATCTCTCCATCATGGTATTTCTCTGGTTTGTTAAAGCCAAGAGTTTTTCTTTGATCTGTAAAGAGAAGACAAGAAATCATTCAAGTTAATATGAATTAACAGTTTATTATAAAACATCATCTGTACAGTTTCTATGCTAAAAAAATCTAATACTCAAAAATAAATTAAGGCTTAATATGCAAAAAGGAATTTGGGTTGGCTTTCTAGGTCAAAAGTCTGTTACTTTGTTTTTTTTTATTTCAAAGCAAAGCTGCATGATGAATTATCTATGCCGTGCCCACTTCAGGGATCAAGTCACAAATTTTAGCATTGTAAGTCCTCAAACTGGTGCTCAGCCACCAAAGAAGAGGGGGCAGGATCAAAGTGAATTTGACAAGAAACATAAACTGAAATGACTTGAAGTATTTGGCATTTGTTAGTCATTTAAATGTCTCAACTGTTTGGTTTAACATTATTGCAGCATAATTATTGTCAATTTAGTACTTTGCATACCAATATTCATCAACTTTCTACAAAATAAGTGCATTTATTCTTCTTTTTGAAAAATGTGTATGCTTTTTTATGGCTTGCCTTGTTTTTATTGTGTCTTACTTTTATGGTAAAAAACAATAGATTTCACATTTGTTTTTCTGAAATTTCAGACAAAAATAATTCAAGCTATAAATAAAGCAAACATCTTTTCAAACTGAGATTCTTAACTGACTTCAATTATTTAGCAAATCTTGCAGTGAGATTCAAACGGGACGAACAATATTAAGGAGGGGCCAGTGTTGCGTCATCGAG